AATAACAGAAAAACACATCATTCAGACCGATGCTGATGTAAAGCTTGACGAGATTGAGATGCAGATGTACAGACAACATTGTGAGTTCATTGACCAGGCCTTGGTATCGAACTGTGAGATGGACCTGTATGACGCGTATCAGGCCTGGGAGTCGGGGGCTGTAGAGTTGGAGGATGTCAGGGACACAAACACAGCAGACACACGGAGAATGGATGAAATCAGGTTTACACCTGACACTGACAACGTCCGGAACATCCTAGATGATCTACAGTTGGGGAAGATTGACGTCACATATGGAAATGGCCTGAAGTGTTCACCGGTGTTGTTCCACACACTTGATGCGACCTCATTGAATGACAAGGAGATACCTTTTATCACTGGCGTCACAGAACTTAATGTAGATGGGATGCAGACAATTGTTGTTACAGACAACACCAACAAGTGTGTGAAATCTTTCTTTACGAGAAACAATCAAGCATGTCAAAGTAGACTTCTCCTGGATAACTCTCCACGTGGTCTAACACAGTTAAAGGAGAAGCAGGTGATGGTTGCTGTCCCTGGCTCCAGTCAGATTGTAACAGTAAAAGTGACCCCTGACCTGGTGTTGCTCTCGACCATAACAACAAGAAAGAAGTACTCCAGTCTCTCTGTTCTGAGTCCCATATCCCTGGCAGCAGGTAGTATAACATGTGTTGATATCATGGACATGGCGGGACACGTGCTGAGGTCAGTCACTACACACAACAAGGAGACACCGTTTGCCTTCCCGTCCTACATGAGTGTCAACACCAAGGGCAACATACTCGTGTCTGATTGGAAGAAGAAGTCTGTGACATGTTTTACGTCAGATGGGGACGCCGTGTGGAGATACCCGTCTACCGGAGATAGGGCACACCATCAACCTTCTGGTATCTTTACAACCAACACTGGAGATATCATGCTTATAGACCAGCTGGCCGAGGCTATTATACTACTAAGCAAGACAGGGGAATATGTCAGCGATGTCATCACATCACAGGATGGCATCAGCCAGCCATTGAGTCTCTGCATTAACAAACATGACTCAGTTCTTGTTACTTGTGGAAGGGAAATCAAGACATTTATCCTTACATAGTATGGGAGTGAATATCGATGGGAGGGTTCGTCAGATTTAGTTCTTTCGTCTCTGGGTGGCGTGTGAGGGTGAAAATGTGCAGTGAGAATAATAGTTCATTGTAAAAGGATGCACATTTTTATGTCTAATGATAAAATGTGACAAACCCCTTTCCATATTCATAAGAAATCTCTGTCAAAAGTAGAGTCGATTAATAGTGTACGATTACGACTATATCATGAGTATGCTTCCATCTATCACCGTTACTATTGGGATGATACCAATTGCTCGCGAACAGATAAGCGAATCGTGTCACATCGGTGGCAGCCGTCACAAGCACGAGCAAATGTCAAATGTTTCAACTGAAAAACGCGGGAACTGGTAGAAATCTAAATAGGGCATTGCATCGGACATTATCTTTATCCCCCGCCACGAATTAGGACGGGGATAAGGAAACGGAGTTCTTGCGTCCTTCCGTCCGTTCCTCCGTATTTCCGTCCTTCCGTCCGCTTCACAAAGGGGACAAATTCTCTCTTAATCGATTTAAGTTAGAGAAATAAAATTTTATGCACTGATCTTTAATGAGTTAAACCCCTTGCTCCATGCTTTTCAACCTAGTGCAAACTGCGTGAAATGGGTTTTCTCAGAAGCTCCTTAAGTTACACGAGTGAAAGTTTCCATACTTATGTGAGAGATACTTGTCAAGAAAAGTGGTCCCGTAAATGATATTTGGCCAGAGTTACTTCCCTTGCTACATGTTTTTAGATTTTGTTCGAGAATTTGTGCTATAAATTATTTTGTATGTATTAATTTCACGTTTAATTATTTTTTCATAAAGTGACCCTAGTGCACGTGCAAAACTCTTCTTAAGGCTTTATAGGACTCTTTTTTTAGTTTATATTCACTTCTACATGAACAAACATGTGCCACATGGCAGTGGATATTGATAACGTTGATTTCTGGTTGTCACTGATGCTGATGTTATCCAAATATCTATGCATATAACGTTTTGAAAGCTTTACTGAAGACTTGAATGTAGTAACCGTGATCAAACAACTTTTCAAGTGTCGCATCCCGAAATCTTGTCGGAAGGAGCATGCTCGATTGTACTTTATTTATGCTTGATTGATGATAGTGTTTTGGGGCTACCAAAAAGAGTTAACATTCCTGACAGCTTTTGTGAAAAATGGGGACTACAGGTTAATTTGCATAAAACAGAAGTAATCGTATTCAGACCTGGGGGTACACTAAGGCATTATAAAAATAGTTTATGAGTGACGTTCCAAAAACAGTGACATGTACTTACAGCAATTACCCAGGTGTTCTGCATTCTAATCGATTGTCCTGGTCAAAGTGCATAGACACATTGATTATCAACTTTGTTTCATATCAATGTTATGATATAAATTCCCACTGATGCCCATAAATATTTTATTTGAACTACTTGACATAAAAATATAGCCTGTTATATTGTATGGGGTAGAGGTGTGGTGTTTTCAGCAATACCCAGTATTAGAATCGTTTTGTGCTAATCTCTGTAAATATGTGTTGGGGGTAAGTAAATATGTTTCTAGAAGTGCTATTTTACCAAAATGTAGTAGAAGACAACTGTATGTAGATTATCATTTTAAATGTGTTAAACATTGATTTTAGCTTTTGTGTATTGATTTTAGTAAATATCCTAGATAGTATTATCTTTTAATGAAAAAGTTGGATGAAGCCGGTGTGAAAACATGGGGAAACTGTCTTTGATAATTTACTCTTCAGTACCGGTTTTGGTGATGTATGGCTATCCCAGAACAGTGGTGATATACATCTCTTTTTTAATTTGCTCTTCATGTGGCCAAAACGCTCACTCACCAACAAGTCACTTTGCTTTCTATACTTAAAGATAGGACAAAACATCGGCACATGTCCTTGTGCTAAAACAAATGTTTTTGACACGATAGGACTTTACAACTACACTATATATAATAAGTACAATAAGTATGTACCTTGAGGTGTGTGGACATCTCGCCAGGCTATGTCCGTCATACTAGATTGGATCCGGGAAACTACGCTGTCGTCAGCTCTGCCCAGTCACCACTTGTCGAGGTTTCGTAGTTGCCTCCCTTGTATGTCATACGGAAGATTCAGATAGACACAACTGCGTACCTCGATGGGAGGTGTTATTTCAAGGTTTCCGGGATACTAAGTAAAGCCGACAGGATCCATATGATGAAGAAGTATCTATTCATCTACTAGCATCAGACACAATCAACTTGTATACGGTTTGTATTTCGTAAATATTGAGTTTGTGTTGTGAACACACACAGTCAGGGAACTTAAAACTAATGTCAGAGAAACTGAAAGTATGACTTGTAGAGAAAGATCGCGTTTTCTATCCTGAAACGCCTTGTATCTTACATTTATCTTACTTCTGCTGTTATACGTTAGTTACAAAAGTCTGTGTGTATCAATTCAGGTAAACCAAGTCCTTCGTCGATATGAATACTGAAAAAAATAAAAAAACATTAAACTTTGACCCCGACACACTGACCTACACAATTTCCTTCCTTGTACTGTGACAGTGAGGGGGCGTGTATATAAACCAGGCACATAGAGATGGATCAATAATCCCTTATACAGGACGATGTGGGTATGTTTTAAAATATAGCCGTTAGAAATAATTTGAAGCAATGCCGACACTGCCAAACCTACATAAGTCTTTACATACAGTCCCAGCCTGACCTTGTCAAGTGCCCTCTACTGCGGTAACTACAGTGATATTCCCTATGTCAATTCTCTGTTTTGTGTACCCTTACCTTTGTGTTCATGTTGCATACGTAATTGGTAATCAATTTTAAATCAACAGTGCCAGTATGTAAGATATATGCTTCACCTGCAGTTATTTTTCTTCAAGGTATGATTTTGAAAATTCTCACAGCATTCAGTAGTTTCTAAATGTATTTTAAGTACAACATATCAATCATTAAGTAAAAGTGTCCCAATATAATCATCAGTTAAATACGAAATAACGTTAAAAACTTTCTTTCACATGCTTAAATTTAAAAATTAAATGCGAAAAACAAAGCATCACTTATTCATCTAACTGAAAGATGTCCTGAAGAGTGATCTTGATTGTGACAGTGATCTCATACTATCATGTCCTGTTTTACAGATGGCGACGTCGCGGGCTGAAAAAGTGATGGAATTCCTCACCTGTGTGATCTGCCAGGAACTGTACGCAGACCCTTGTACACTGAGGTGTGATCACACATTCTGCAGGAAATGTGTCACAGGATACATCCAAACGAGACCAGATGCTGTACAGTCCAAGACGATCCCCTGTCCCTGCTGTCGACAAGATACCAAGGTCCCCGACCCTAGCAGGCCTGTGGAGGAGTGGGCGGGGCAGATCAAACCCAGCATCATTATACAGGGGCTGATTGACACACAAGCTGGACCTTCTACTGAAGGTAAATACAAGCGACAAAACCCTTTCCATATTCATTAGGAATCTCTGCCAAAAGCAGAGTCGATTGTACGATTCCGTCTATATCATCAGCATGTGTTTATGAATCACAATTACATAGTGATGATACCAGGTGTTCGCGAAAAGGTGAGCCGCACAGGTGGCACCAGACACAAACACATGCAAAGGCAAGTTAATTGTTCAAATGAAAAAACATGGCAACATAAGTCAAATCAAATTTCGAAATGTCCTCCACATATCTTTTTCAACACCTTTTGAAAGCTTTATTGAGGCCTTGAATGTTGTAACCTTGATCAACTTCTGAGCAAACAATTGGTTCCATGGGCATGCCTACCTCTTGCTGAAATGTGTTACTGCCAAATTTTACAAAGATATTATCAATGAGTTAAATGTAAAGATATTATCAATGAGTTAAATGTATGTATGCACAAGCACAAGAAAGTCAAATATATCTGTAAAGACTGTAACAAGTCACTGTGTCAGTCATGCTGCGTGGTCTACCACAGGAAATGTGACTCTGTCGTCACAATCAATTCACAAGTAGAAAGAATGAAGTCAGAGTTGACTCTGAAAAGAAATATCTTGCAGACTAAATATCATGGCAAAGGTAAAAGGATAGAGAGACATACGTTGAGATTAGATCAAATAAAAGAAAAGAAATTGGCCACTAAAGAACAAATCAATCTAAACGCCAATAAAATGTTACAGCACATCAGGCTGAAGGAACAAAAGCTGTTAGATGAACTGGATGAAATAACAGACAAACAAGTCATTCAGACTCATGTTGATGTAAAGCTTGAAGAGATTGAGATGCAGATGTACAAACAACATTGTGAGTTCATTGACCAGGCCTTGGTATCGGACTGTGAGATGGACCTGTATGACGCGTATCAGGCCTGGGAATCGGGGGCTGTAGAGTTGGGGGATGTCAGGGACACAGACACTGCAGACACACGGAGAATAGATGACACCAGGTTCACACCTGATACTGACAACGTCCAGCACATCCTAGATGACCTACAACTTGGGAAGATTGACGTCACATATGGAGATGGACTGAAGTGTTCACCAGTGTTGTTCCACACACTTGATGCGACCTCAGAGGATGACGAAGGGATACCTAGAATGCCTGGTGTCACAGCACTTTATGTAGAAGGCATACAGACAATTGTTGTTACGGACTACACCAACAAGTGTGTGAAATCTTTCTACAACAGAAACGATCAACCATCTCAAAGTAAACTTCCCCTGGATGACTCTCCATTTGGCCTAACACGTTTGACGGAGAAAGAGGTGATAGTTGCTGTCCCTGGCTCACGGAAGATTCTAACAGTAAAGGTGTCCCCGGACCTGGTACTGAACTCAACCATCACAACAAGCAAGGGTTACGCCAGTCTCGCTGTTCTGGGTCCTTCATCTCTGGCAGCAGGTACTTGGGACTGTCTTGATATCCTGGACATGACAGGACACGTGCTAAGGTCAGTCACTACACACAACAACGAGACACTGTTTGCCTACCCCGCCTATATGTGTGTCAACAACAAGGGCAACATACTCGTGTCTGACTGCTGCAAGAAGTCTGTGACATGTTTGACGTCAGATGGGGATGTTGTGTGGAGATACGCACCTACCGGAGATAGGGCTCTCCGTAAGCCTACTGGTATCTTAACAACCAACACAGGAGATATCATGTTTGTAGACAAGATCGCCGTGACTATTATACAGCTAACCGAGACAGGGGAATATGTCAGCGATGTCCTCACATCACAGGATGGCATCAATCAGCCAATTAGTCTGTGCATTGACAAACATGACTCTGTTCTTGTAACTGGTGGAGGGGATATCAAGACATTTATTTTCACATAGTATGTGAATGTATATTGATGAAGGGCTTTGTCGGAGTGAGTTATCACATCTCGGGATGATGTGTGAGGATGAAAGGGAGGGGATAACGGGGAAGGACAACATGTATTAAGATGCACATTGTTATGTCTCAGCTGCATATGGGCGGCCTGCGTGACACCATATGGAACTTGAACGACATACGAATAAGAGTAGACACGGGTGACCAAGTGGTAGAAGGCATTACTGTTTGCTGTGAAGAGTTGCGTCCCTTCTCCGAGCCAGGAAACAGTTTCTCATGGGCATTAGGCCCTAATCACTAATGTTTTGCAATTATCAATTCATTTTCGAAGCTTAAATCATTACTGTGAGAGGGTTTCTGTTAATCGAAGGTCATGTTTACATGTAAGAGTTGAGATAATATATTAAATACATGATAGGTATTAAATGTTTACATTTCTATCAATAATTTGCTGTTGTGTTTGTCAGTTTTGATTCATATATATTGAGAGATGTTCTTGTAGATAGATAAAAGCACAGTGATTGCCAAATGAACAACAGATCCACTTGTACATGCATCTGAATCATGGATTGAGTGAGTGAGTGCGTGAGTATGGTTTTACGCCGTTTTTAGTAATATTCCAGCAATATCAAGGCGGGGGACACAAGAAATTCATACACTGTACCCATGTCGGCAATCGAACCCGGGTCTTCGGCGTGACGAGAGAAGGCTTTAACCACTAGGCTACCCTGCCGCCCCTCTGAATCATGGAAATCACTTAACCACTTGTATGTGAAAGTTGGTGTACATCCTTTGTTGTTGCAGTGCTGTGTTAGGATGGCTACACGTTTTGTCAATTTGTTCCCGCGATACAGGATACATGTATTTACGGCACAGTTGAAGGTGTCCACAATGGCGGTGTTAGACTTCTGCTATAATCCAGTTAATAGGAAACGAATACCAATCTACGATATCTGCCCCAAACCGATTTTACCACTTCATCAGATGGATACAAAACGAGAACTGTTCTTCAGACATATAAAAGTAGGGAGCTGAGGTCAAATAGGGAGAACCGCCTCCGTGGTCTAGTGGTAGAGCGACTGTTAAGAGAGCGGAAGGTCCAGGGTTTGATCCCCGGCCGAGTCATACCAAAAGACGTGAAAAGATGGTACTTGATGTTACCCTGCCTGGCGCTCGACTTTTAGGGGCTATAGATATGACAGTTGGCTCGGAGTCAGTAGACTGTGTTGGAGTGGGGTGTTCATGTTAAACTGCAGCATGGTACCTCAGTGAGATAGCACTATGAAATCGGCATTAGTCCAGACTAGTACAAGCAGCCACACACTCACACACACACTTCGCTGTGTAGTGCAATAATCTTGGACGCGACGTTAAACCCCATTTCATCTCATCTCACCATTTAGGGAGAACAGAATGGAATAATAACATGTTGAAGTCCTCACCTCTCAAATCATCTAACTTGGTTTGTCAGCACCATGGTAAACGTCTAAGACCTGCTTCACTTTGTGTTGTCACCCCACATCAAGCTGACACATCATGATATAACTGCTACAGGGTTTAGAGCGCTGTAAAATCCACCTCCCCCACTCGTTCACTTGATGCATATTGGGGACTGATTAACGGAGTTTGTTCTAAAACACACTTTGACTTTGTTTAACGATGAATAATGTACGATCTGATGTGCTTCTGAACCCAATGTCTCTGGGTACAGTGAGTGAGTGAGTATGGTTTAACGCCGCTTTGAGCAATATTCCAGCAATATCACGGCGGGGGACACCAGAAATTGGCTTCACACATTGTACCCATGTCGGGAATCGAACCCGGGTCTTCGGCGTGACGAGCGAACTCAACGTACAGGATTGAGAGGAATATAATTTTAATTTTCTTCATGACAGAAGATCCCCTGAAATGCCAATGAACGCCAAACCAACAAGATTTCTTTCAGTGATAAGCCGTGTATATTGGCGTCCATTATTACGTTGAGGGAGCATTAGTTCGGCAAAACCGAAACAACATGGACAGCCATTCGTTTTCGAGAAATTTGGAAATACTTTGGCTTTGATGAATATTAATTTTCCGTGAATGCTACGATAATGACAGCAGGATCAATCTTGTATAAATACATGTTCAACTAATGGTTTCATCTATATACCTTCAAGGATACAGGTAGATGTGGGAACTTCATTGATACAGGTAGATGTGGGAACTTCATGGATACAGGTAGATGTGGGAAATTCATGGATACAGGTGGATGTGGGTACTTCATGGATACAGGTAGATGTGGGAACTTCATGGATACAGGTAGATGTGGGTACTTCATGGATACAAGTAGATGATGGAACTTCATGGATACAGGTAGATGTTGGAACTTCATTGATACAGGTAGATGTGGGTACTTCATGGATACAGGTAGATGTGGGAACTTCATGGATACAGGTAGATGTGGGAATTTCATGGATGCAGGTAGATGTGGGAACCTCATGGATACAGGTAGATGTGGGTACTTCATGAATAGGTAGATGATGGAACTTCATTGATACAGGTAGATGATGGAACTTCATGGATACGGGTAGATGATGGAACTTCATGAATACAGGTAGGTGTGGGTACTTCATGAATACAGGTAGATGTGGGAACTTCATGGATACAGGTAGATGATGGAACTTCATTGATACAGGTAGACGTGGGAACTTCATGGATTCAGGTAGATGTGGGTACTTCATGGATACAGGTAGATGTGGGTACTTCATGGATACAGGTAGATGTAGGAACTTCATGGATACAGGCAGATGTGGGTACTTCATGGATACAGGTAGATGTGGGAACCTCATGGATACAGGTAGATGATGGAACTTCATGGATACAGGCAGATGTGGGAACTTCATTTATACAGGTAGATGTGGGAACTTCATGGATACAGGTAGATGTGGGAACTTCATTGATACAGGTAGATGTTGGTACTTCATGGATACAGGTAGATGATGGAGCTTCATGGATACAGGTAGATGTGGGAACTTCATTGATACAGGTAGATGTGGGAACTTCATGGATACAGGTAGATGTGGGAACTTCATTGATACAGGTAGATGTGGGAACTTCATGGATACAGGTAGATATGGGAACTTCATGGATACAGGTAGATGTAGGAACTTCATGGATACAGGTAGATGATGGAGCTTCATGGATACAGGTAGATGTGGGAACTTCATTGATACAGGTAGATGTGGGAACTTCATGGATACAGGTAGATGTGGGAACTTCATGGATACAGGTAGATGTGGGAACTTCATGGATACAGGTAGATGTGGGAACTTCATGGATACAGGTAGATGTGGGAACTTCATGGATACAGGTAGATGATGGAACTTCATTGATACAGGTAGATGTGGGAACTTCATGGATACAGGTAGATGTGGGAACTTCATTGATACAGGTAGATGTGGGTACTTCATGAATACAGGTAGATGATGGAGCTTCATGGATACAGGTAGATGTGGGAACTTCATGGATACAGGTAGATGTGGGAACTTCATGGATACAGGTAGATGATGGAACTTCATTGATACAGGTAGATGTGGGAACTTCATGGATACAGGTAGATGTGGGAACTTCATGGATACAGGTAGAAGTGGGAACTTCATGGGTACAGGTAGAAGTGGGTACTTCATGGATACAGGTAGATGATGGAACTTCATGGATACAGGTAGATAATGGAACTTGATGGATACAGGTAGACGTCGGGACTTCATGGATACAGGTAGATGTGGGAACTTCACCGGCCTTGGCAATTTCACCTCATGTCCTATATGCCTGTAAATATAATAGATCCATGTTAATTCGCAGTGGTGTAATTTATGTCATAGCTTTTGGTGTAGATCATCCACCCAACACAAAAGAATAAAATCATTCTACCCTATGTCACAATGCGTATATACAGCTTATCTACCGTAACATTAGGATATGCTTATATCTCTATAAACGTATCTGTTCAGCTGGATGCAGGTCTAGCACATTTACTACTTTGGTGCAACTCACGAGCACAAGTATTTGTTTTTGTGAAATATTGATATTTCTGGTGCATCTCTTGCTTATGCTTCAGTGAATTGAAAACAGCTTATAACATACCGAGCTCGTCTTCCAAAAATATATCATGCAAGATGTATATAGAAATATGGACAGTGACACTGAAGAAACTCAACAGTGTTTTAACCCTATTCCTTTCCGATATAGTGAATGTTGTGAACTGTTTTAATAAGAAAATTACTTAACCTGTACTTCACCGTTGAAATACATATCAAGACCCGTCCTTTCACACAACGTTTTTGCAATAGGTAGCATGATTAAGCGTACTAAAAATTATTAATCAATTCTTAGCAGTTGACCAACGGAATTACTATAAACTGTGTGTTCGTCCCTCAACCATAATCACACTACATGATTATTAAAAAGTTCTAACACAAACATACATGTATGCTAAGGGCCCTGGGTCTGAAGTAATAAAAGCCATTTGATGACAAAAGCAAGCTTGAAACAGTGCAGAGAGAATAAACCACGAATAAACTATGCTGTTTCTCGTATTTTTTTTCCTCCCTGTAATGTTTTATTGTAGACAAACAACTCCCTCTCGTCGTTTATTTCTTAAATATTGCAGTGTGTTGATATCTCACCCGCCTATGGCAATCACTCTTGATTCGATCCAAGGACCTACGCTGTTGTCTGCACTGATACTTTATCAATCACCGCAAGTCTAGGTTTTGTAGTTACCTCCCTTGTATGTTATGCGGAAGCGGCAGGAAGTACCCAGGTGTGTGCCTCGGCGGGAGTTGGTTATTTCAAGACTTCAAGGAAACAAATTGAAGCTGACAGTGTACATGATAAAGGATTATTAAATTCGTCAACTAGCAATATACAGTATCAACTTGTATACGGTTTGTGTCTTAAATACTTATTTTGTCTTGTGAAAAAGCCCATTCATGACCCTTTATACTTAGAGAAACCGACAAGGTTTCGCAGTCGAGGTTTCGCAGTTACCTCCCTTGTATGTTATGCGGAAGAGGCAGGTAGACCCAGGTGTGTGCCTCGGCGGGAGTTGGTTATTTCAGGACCCCCAGGATAGTAGGTGAAGCTGACAGTGCACATGATAAAGGAGCATTAAACGTCAACTAGCAGCATATAGTATCAGCTGGTATAAGGTTTGTGTTTCTAAAATACTGATTTTGTCTTTTGAACAAGCCTATTCATGTCCCTTTAAACTAAGAAAAACCGAATTTAGGACTTGTAGAGCGAGATTCTGTTTCGTATTCTGAGACGCAAAGTATGTTGATACACTTTATGTCTTACTGTTTAACTGTCTTACTGTTTTGAGTTAGTTTTACAGCTGTCTAACATATTTTAGTTTATTATTTCAGGTGAACGAAGTGGTTCGTCCTTCATGAAATACTGCCGCAATAAAAGCATGTATCTTTGCCCCAGACACTAACCTTCACAGTTACCTCCCTTGTATCGTGACAGTGCGAGCATTGTCTGTTACTCAGGGACATTGGACTGTGTTGGCAAGATTTAAAATGTAGCTTTTAACAATAATTGGAAGTTCTGTTGAAACAATGTAGTCCATACATACACTACCTGGATGGCCATTTCGGCGCCTCCTCTAATTGGAATAATGGCTGGATGTGATATAAGCAGCGCAACACCGTCTCTACAGTCTCTACAACAATATACACTGCTATCAATTTCTCTTTTCATGAATACTCTTTATTTCCCCCAATGATTTGGAGAGTAGTACATACAATTACATTACATTATTTGACAACGGCAATGACAAAATACATGTAAGTACAACAGATTGAGCTGGGTAAGCAGTAATGAAGTGATGCGTGAAACTATATTTACATGATGTGTGACATAGCTTCACAAATACAATATGGATGTTAAGTTCCATGAGCTGACATGTTTAGCCACGATACTCATGAATGTTGCCTAGCTGTCAAGTGTCATGTCTTGGACCACAACTGTAATAGCACCCAGGTATGTCAGAATCTTGACGGCATCACTAGACGTGTCCTCAAGTCTGAGATATGTTTCAAGGCTAACATTGTCAAATAGAGACTCACTAAGCACATTTCTTTGTTTCATTAGGCCATCACAGTAAAGCAATTGGTGCTTAACAATGTCATCACATTCACAGTTACAGATAAGACACAGTCCAGACGTTACAGGTAGTATGCCGAGCTTTACAAGAGCATATACAGGGGGGGAAGCAATATCATACCATACACACAGAGACCAGAGACGATGTGGGGCAAGGCGGGTGTGGATAGCACTAAACCTATGCATGTCTGGACGTTGTTGCAAAGTATTTCTCCAATTCATATTTTCAGACTCACTAATAGCTCGTTGTACCATGCTCTTCCATACACTCTTAGATGGAAATTCCCCAGAGTTGATTAGTTTATCTAAGACGCCTGAGAATCCATACATTTTAGCCACATTCAGTAGATCATGTGTTATGGATCTGGCACTGTGTGAGATCGCGGTGACATACTGGGATAGTCTGAGATAGAAAATCGGCTTCATAATGGTTGTGCCTGCTGCTCTACAGAGTCGTCCCAGAAAGAAAAGCTTCATTTTCTCCACCTTGCCCAGCATTGACATATCTTGCATAGGTACTGGTTATCAATTTTAAACACACAGTGCCAGTATGTAAATGTTTCAGCAGCAGCTATGTACATACGTGTACAGTGTATCTCCCTTCATGGTTTTCTATTGGAAACTCTCACACCATACTTCCAGTAGTTTTATACTGTTATTTTAGGTGCAAAATATTAATCTGTAAATAAATGTGTCCAAATAAATCGAGAGTTAAATGCTAAAATCGTATTAGCTTTTAATTGTCATTGTTATATTTCGAGCTGAGCAACTAAAGGATATCCTGAAAATATAAAAAGTGATTCAGCCAGATCTCATATTATCATGTTTTGTTTTACAGATGGCGACGTCACGAGCTGAGAAAGTGACGGAATTCCTCACCTGTGTGATCTGCCAGGAACTGTACACAGACCCCTGTACACTGAGGTGTGATCACACATTCTGCAGGAAATGTGTCACAGGATACATCCAAACCAGACCAGATGCTGTACAGTCCAAGACGATCCCCTGTCCCTGCTGTCGACAAGATACCAAGGTCCCCCACCCCAGCCGGCCAGTGGAGGAGTGGGCGGGGCAGATCAAACCGAGCATCATTATACAGGGGCTGATTGACACACAAGCTCGACCTTCTACTGAAGGTAAATACAAGCGACCAAACCCTTTCCATATACATAAGGAATCTCTGCCGAAAACAGAGTCGATTGTACGATTCCGACTATATCATGAGCATGAGTTTATGAATCACCATTACATAGTGATGATACCAGGTGTTTGCGAAAAGGTGAGCCGCACTGGTGGCACCCGACACAAACACATGCAAAGGCATACACTGCTTACATCCAAACCAGACCACATGCTGTTCGGTCCAAGACAATCCCCTGTGCCTTCTGTCGACAAGATACCAAGGTCCCCGACCCCAGCAGGCCAGGGAGGAGTGGGCGGGGCAGGTCAAACCCATCATCATTATACAGGGGCTGATTGACACACAAGCAGAAAATATTTTTGAAGGTTAGACACACCCGCAATTTAACATACGTTTTAAGGATGCTAACTCCACAATGCAACAACATCATACTTGTTTTAGCTTTTGTGTACATGTGTTATATGGATGTATTTGTTAAAGAATGAAATTACAGTTACTATGTTAGATACATGTTATTGGTATTGTTATCACTAACTGCGTATGGAAGTCTTCATGTTTTCCCACGCCCAATTTGGGGTTTGCTTTTGCTGTTTAACGCCACACTCATCAATATTCCAGCTGTATGACGACGGTATGTAATTAATCGAGTCTGTACCACATAATCCAGTGAGTGATATCATGAGCACCAATCCACGCAATTGGGATGACCACCAGATCCCCTTAGTCGCCTCTTACGACAAGCATGGGTTGCTGAAGGTTACACACAACCAAATGTTTTCCCATAGACTTCTATAGTAACGTTATATTTATTTTTTAAATAACTAAGCATTCAACAGATATTACCTGTACGTGTGTGCACAGTTTGGCCTTAGAGCAGCAATAAAAAATAAAAAATGACTAGCTTAGTCAGCTCCTTTTCCGAGTACCGGAAGCTAAACACAACATCCCCAGTTTCGCACCAAATGTCACCTACTTGAAAATAGCTGTGGTCACATTCAGCATAAGTCATCATGTTGAAAAAGACAGTACTGAATATAGAAAAACATGGTCAGTTTTACTAACTGGATGGATGTACATTTGAAAGACATAAAAATCTTACAGAATATCCTCCAATCACAGCCTGCAGATATCTCTCGATCTGCACTGAAAACCGCACTGTCCAAACTGGTACTGATTTGGTGTAGTAGAACCTGAAGACCTATTATCCTACCATGGATCTTCACGGGTCCCTACGCCAAGTAACGATATCTATTGGACTACCAATAATGGCTAACAGTGATAACCAATACATTACATTTTATATGAATGATGTGATAAGCTCTGTGAAAGTGAGTTCGAATTCCAGATTGTATGTAGTATCATGTACGAATAACATGCAATGATGGTGTTTGTATTTACATTCATATGTTCATGTATTTACATTCACATACAAATTATGCCCAATTGTTTCTTTTACAGACACAGGTGCTAAATGTTGCACATTATGTGGCCAGCTAGGGGAGAGAACTCCAGCGATCTCCTGGTGTCCAGACTGTGGAGTTACTCTCTGTGAAAGGTGTGTCAAAATGCATCGGGTTAGTCCCTCATCTCGTGACCACGAACTGTGTGACCTGTCTGGGGATATCAAGGTGATGAAGAGACGAAAGGTCATGTGTCAAGAACACAAGGATGAGCAAGTCAAATATATCTGTAAAGACTGCAACAGGTCACTGTGTCAGTCCTGCTGTGTGGTCTACCACAGGAAATGTGAGTCTGTCGTCACAATCAATTCACAAGTGGCAAGAATGAAATCGGAGTTAGCTTTGCGAAGTGACATCTTACGGACAAAATGTGACGGCAAACGCAATAAAATAGAGAGACATCAATTCCAAATAGATAAAATGAAAGACGACAAAGTGGCAGTAAAAGAGCAGGTTAATCTGATAGCTCATAAGGCCAAAGAGTACATCCGACAGAAGGAAAAGAAGCTGTTAGATGAATTAGATGAAATAACAGAAAAACACATCATTCAGACTCATGCTGATGTAAAGCTTGACGAGATTGAGATGCAAATGTACAGACAACATTGTGAGTTCATTGACCAGGCCTTGGTATCGGACTGTGAGATGGACCTGTATGACTCCTATCAGGCCTGGGAGTCGGGAGCTGTAGAGTTGGTGGATGTCAGGGACACAGACACAGCAGACACACGGCGAATAGATGACATCAGGTTTACACCTGACACTGACAACGTCCAGCACATCCTAGATGACCTACAGCTGGGAGAAATTGACTTCACATATGGAGATGGACTGAAGTGTTCACCAGTGTTGTTCCACACACTTGATGCGACCTCAGTGAATGACAAGGGGATACCTAAAATGCTTTGTGTCACAGCACTTTATGTAGATGGGATGCAGACAGTTGTTGTTACAGACTACACCAACACGTGTGTGAAATCTTTATTCACGAGAAACAAACAAGCATGTCAAAGTAGACTTCTCCTGGATGACTCTCCACGTGGTCTAACACAGTTGAAGGAGAAGCAGGTGATGGTTGCTGTCCCTGGATCCCGCCATATTGTAACAGTAGAAGTGACCCCTTACCTGGTGCTGCTCTCGACCATAAGAACAAGAAAGAAGTACTCCAGTCTCTCTGTTCTGAGTCCTTCATCCCTGGCAGCAGGTAGTATAACCTGTGTTGATATCATGGACATGGCGGGACACGTGCTGAGGTCAGTCACTACACACAACAATAAGACACTGTTTACCTTCCCCTGGTACATGTGTGTCAACTCCAAGGGCAACATACTCGTGTCTGACTGGGGGAAGAAGTCCGTGACATGTGTGACGTCAGATGGGGATGTCGTGTGGAGATACGCCCCTACCGGAGATAGGGCACTCAGAAAGCCTACTGGTATCCTAACAACCAGCACAGGAGATATCATATTTATAGACCAGTTCACCGGGACTGTTATACAGCTAACCGAGACAGGGGAATATGTCAGCGATGTCCTCACATCACAGGATGGCATCAACCAGGCATTGAGTCTCTGCATTGACAAACATGATTCAGTTCTTGTAACTGGTGGCGGGGAAATCAAGACATTTATTTTCACATAGAATGTGAATGTATATTGATGAAGGGCATTGTCGGATTGAGTTATCACATCTCGGGATGATGTGTAAGGATGAAAGGGAGGGGATGACGGGAAGGACAACATGTATTAAGATGCACATTGTTATGTCTCAGCTGCATATGGGCGGCCTGTGTGACCCCATATGGAACTTGAACGACATACAAATGAGCGTAGACACGGTTGACCCAGTGGTAGGAGGCATTCCTGTGTACTTTGAAGAGTTGCGTTCCTTCTCCGAGCCAGGAAACAGCTTCTCCTGGGCATAAGGCCAAAATCACTTGTAACAATAAAATGTTTTGCAATTATCAATTCATTTTCGAAGCTTAAATCAATACTGTGAGAGGATTTCTGTTATGCGAAGGTCATGTTTACATGTAAGAGTTGAGATCATATTTTAAATATATGATGAGTATTAAATGTTTACATTTCTATCAATAATTTGCTGTTGTGTTTGTCAGTTTTGATTCATATATATATACATATATTCATTTTCTTGTAGACAGATAATAGCACAAAGATTTCAAATGAACACCAGATCCACTTGTACATGTGTCTGAATCATGGAGTGAGTGAGTGAGAAAGTTAGTGAGTATTGTTTTACGCCGCTTTTAGCAATATTCCAGCAATATCATGGCGGGGGACGCCAGAAATTGGCTTCACGCATTGTACCCATGTCGGCAATCGAACCCGGGTCTTCGGCGTGACGAGAGAAAGCTTTAATCACTAGGCTATCCTACCGCCCCTCTGAATCATGGAAATCACTTAACCACTTGTATGTGATAGTTGGTGTACATCAATTGCTGTTGCAGTGCTGTGTTAGGATGGCTACACGTTTTGTCAATTTGTTCCCGCGATACAGGATACATGTATTTACGGCACAGTTGAAGGTGTCCACAATGGCTGTGTTGGGCTTCTGCTGTAATCCAGTTAATAGGAAACGAATACCAATCTACGCTTTCTGCCCCCAATCGATTTACCACTTCATCAGATGGACACAACGAGAACTGTTCTACAGGCATACACAAGTAGGTAGCTGAGGTCAAATAGGGAGAACCGCCTCCATGGTCTAGTGGTAGAGCGACTGTTAAGAGAGCGGAAGGTCCGGGGTTTGATCCAAAAGATGGGAAAAGACTGTACTTGTTGTTACCCTGCCTGGCGCTCGACTTTCAGAAAGTAGACTGTGGTGGAGTGGGGAGTGTTGGAGTTGGGTGTTCATGTTAAACTGCAGCAGTGAGATTGCACTATGAAATCGACATTAGTCCAGACCAGTACAAGCAGCCACACACACACACATACGTGCATGTTGTGCAATAATCTTGGACGTGACGATAAACCCCATTTCATCTCATCTCACCGTTAAGGGAGAACAGAGTAGACTAATAACAAGTTGAAGTCCTTACATCATGTATCTCTCCGATCATCTAACTTGGTTTGTCAACACCATACCTCATCCATGGTAAACGTCTAAGACCTGCTTCACTATCAAGCTGACACATCATGATATAACTGCAATAGTGTTTAGAGCGCTGTCAAATCCACCTCACCCACTCGTTCACTTGATGAATATAGGCTACTGAGTAACGAAGTTTTTTTCTAAAACACACTTTGACTTTGTTTAACGATGCATTATGTACAATCTAATGTGCTTCTAAACCCAATGTCTCTAGGTACAGGATGGAGAGGAATATAATTTTATTTTTTTCGTGACAGAAGATCCCCTGAAATGCCGATGAACACCAAATCAACAAGACTTCTTTCAGTGATAAGTTATGTAAATTGACGTCCATTATTACGTTGAGGGAGCATTAGTTTGGCAAAACCGAAACAACATGGACAGCCATTAGTTTTCGAGAAATTTGGAAATACTTTGGCTTTGATGAACATTAATTTTCCGTGAATGCGACGATAATGACAGCAGGACCAATCTGGTATAAATACATGTTCAGCTCATGGTTTCATCTATATACCTTCATGGATACAGGCAGATGTGGGAACTTTACCGGCCTTGTCAATTTCACCTCATGTCCTAATGCCTGTAAATATAATAGATCCATCTTAATTCGCAGTGGTGTAATTTATGTCATCGCTTTTGGTGAAGATCATCCACCAAACACAAAAGAAGGAAATCATTCTACTCTGAGTCACAATGCACATATACAGCTTGTATACCATAACTTTAAAAGATGCTTATATCCTTATACACGTATATATTCAGCTGGGTGCAGGTCTAGCACATTTACTACTTTGGTGCAACTCACGAGCACGAGTATTTGTTTTTGTGAAATATTGATGTTTCTGGTGCATCTCTTGATGATGCTTCAGTGAATTGACAGCTTATAACATACCGAGCTCGCCTTCCAATCATATAAGATGCAAGATGTATATAGAATTATTGACAGTGAATCTGAAGACACTCAACAGTGTTTTAACCCTATTCCTTTCCGCAATAGTGATTGTGGTGAACTGTTTTAATAAGAAAATTACTTAACCTATACTTCACCATTGAAATACATATCCAGACCCGTCCTTTCACACAACGTTTTTGCAATAGGTAGCATGATTAAGCGTACTAAACATTATTAATCAAATCTTATCAGTTGACTAACGAGATTACTATTAATATGTGTGTTCGTCCCTCAACCATAATCACATTACATGATTATAAAACGTTCAAACACAAACATACATGTATGCAAAGGGCCCTGGGTCTGAAGTAATAAAAGTCATTTGATGACAAAAGCGAGCTTGAAACAGTGCAGAGAGAATAAACCACGAATAAACTATGCTGTCCCTCGTGGTTTATTTTTCTCCCTGTAGTGTTTTATTGTACGATAAATAACTCCCCCTCGTCGTTTATTTCTTAAATATTGCAATGTGTCGATATCTCACCCACCTATGGCAATCACCCTTCATTCGATCCAAAGACCTACGTTGTCGTCAGCACTGATACTTTATCAGTCACCGCAAGTTGAGGTTTCGCAGTTACCTCCCTTGTATGTTATGCGGAAGAGGCAGGTAGACGCAGGTGTGTGCCTCGGCGGGAGTTGGTTATTTCGCAAAGTATGTTGATACACTTTATGTCTTACTGTTTAACTGTCTTACTGTTTTGAGTTAGTTTTACAGCTGTTACAGATTATATTCGTCAACTAGCATTATACAGTATAAACCTGCAGCGTTACACGTCTCTACCGGGATACCTCAATATACACTGCTGTTAATTTCACTATTTAGGTATACCTTGTTGGTACACCTACCTTGTACAGGTACTGGTTATCAATTTTAAATACACAGTGCCAGTATGTAAATGTTACCTTAGCAGCTATGTGCAACAGTGTATCTTCCTTCATGGTTTTCTACTGGAAACTCTCACACCATATTTTTTACTATTATGCAAAATATCAATCTGTAGTTATGTATGTAAACATGTATTAGGTTTTCACTGTCATACTCATATTTCAAGCTTAAATAGCAACTAAAGGATATCCTGAAAGTGTAAAAAGTGATTGGGCCATATCTCATACAATCCTCCTTTTTTCGTTTTACAGATGGCGACGTCACAGCCGAGAAAGTGATGGAATTCCTCACCTGTGTGATCTGCCAGGAACTGTACACAGACCCCTGTACACTGAGGTGTGATCACACATTTTGCAGGAAATGTGTCACTGAATACATCCAAACCATACCAGATGCTGTACAGTCCAAGACGATCCCCTGTGCCTTCTGTCGACAAGATACCAAGGTCCCCGACCCCAGCCGGCCAGTGGAGGAATGGGCGGGGCAGATCAAACCCAGCATCATTATACAGGGGCTGATTGACACACAAGCTGGAGCTACTACTGAAGGTAAGACACACCCACAACCTCAGACCAGTTTTAAGGATAGGAACTTCATAGTGCCACCACAACGTATGTGTCTAAGCTTCTGTGTACATATGTTATATGGATGTATTTGTTGGCGAATGAAATTACAGTCACTATGTTAGATGTATGTCATAAATCGTGTCATTGTCGTACTTACTCACTACTTACTACACAAGGCTCAATTTATTCCCACGCCAAGTAACGATGTCTATTGGACTCCCTTCTAAAACGATGGCTACCTCTCAAAGGCTTCGTTTGTTCCCCACAACAAGTACAGCCAACCAACATACATCAGTTCATATGAATGACGTACGTCTGCGCTCTGTACGTCATGCATGTTGGGGTACATTAGCCAACTCGTACAATTCCCTGCTTTTGTTGTATCACCCAACTCCCATGATAGTGAGTTCGAATTACAGATTGGGCCTGATTATATGTGGTGTCATGTACGTTTTCAGGTGCAATGGTAGATGTTTGTATTTACATTGAAATAGGTGTACAATAGATTTTTCCTTCACAGACACAGGTGCTAAATGTTGCACATTATGTGACCAGCTAGGGGAGACAACTCAAGCGATCTCCTGGTGTCCAGACTGTGAAGTTACTCTCTGTGAAAGGTGTGTCAAAATGCATCGTGCTAGTCCCTCATCTCGTGACCACGAACCGTGTGACCTGTCTGGAGATATCAAGGTGATGAAGAGACGAAAGGTCATGTGTCAAGAACACAAGGCTGAGCAAGTAAAATATCTCTGTAAAGACTGCAACAAGACACTGTGTCAGTCCTGCTGTGTGGTCTACCACAGGAAATGTGAGTCTGTCGTCACAATCAATTCACAAGTGGCAAGAATGAAATCGGAGTTAGCTTTGCGAAGTGACATCTTACGGACAAAATGTGACGGCAAACGCAATAGAATAGAAAGAAAGAAATTCAAAATAGATAAAATTAAAGACGACAAAGTGACAGTAAGAGAGCAGGTTAATCTTATAGCTAATAAGGCCATAGAGTACATCCGACAGAAGGAAAAGAAGTTGTTAGATGAATTAGATGAAATAACAGAAAAACACATCATTCAGACTCATGCTGATGTAAAGCTTCAAGAGATTGAGATGCAGATGTACAAACAACATTGTGAGTTCATTGACCAGGTCTTGATATCGGACTGTCAGATGGACCTGTATGACGCGTATCAGGCCTGGGAGTCGGGAGCTGTAGAGTTGGTGGATGTCAGGGACACAGACACAGCAGACACACGGCGAATAGATGACATCAGGTTTACACCTGACACTGACAACGTCCAGCACATCCTAGATGACCTACAGTTGGGAAAGATTGACCTCAGATATGGAGATGGACCTGGTCTGAAGTGTTCACCAGTGTTGTTCCACACACTTGATGCGACCTCAGAGGATGACGAGGGGATACCTGGTATGCCTGGCGTCACAGAACTTAATGTAGATGGCATACAGACAATTGTTGTTACAGACTACACCAACACGTGTGTGAAATCTTTCTTCACGAGAAACAATCAAGCATGTCAAAGTAGACTCACCCTGGATGACTCTCGAGGGGTGTAACACAGTTGAAGGAGAAGCATGTGATGGTTGCTGTCCCCGCATCCCGTCATATTGTAACAGTAGAAGTGACCCCTGACCTTGTGCTGCTCTCAACCATCACAACAAGCAAGGGGTACTACAGTCTCACTGTTCTGAGTCCTTCTTCTCTAGCAGCAGGTGGTTGGGGCGGTGTTGATATCCTGGACATGGGGGGACACGTGCTGAGGTCAGTCACTACACACAACAAGGAGACACTGTTTACCTTACCGTCCTACATGAGTGTCAACACCAAGGGCAACATACTCGTGTCTGATTGGAAGAAGAAGTCTGTGACATGTTTGACGTCAGAGGGGGACGTCGTGTGGAGATACGCCCCTACCGGAGATATGGCACTCCATCAGCCTTCTGGTATCTTTACAACCAACACTGGAGATATCATGTTTATAGACCAGCTGGCCGAGGCTATTATACTACTAAGCGAGACAGGGGAATATGTCAGCGATGTCATCACATCACAGGATGGTATGAGCCAGCCATTGAGTCTCTGCATTAACAAACATGACTCAGTTCTTGTTACTTGTGGAAGGGAAATCAAAACATTTATTCTTACATAGCATGGGAGTGAATATCGATGGAAGGGTTTGTCAGATTTAGTTCTTTCGTCTCTGGATGGCGTGTGTGGGTGATAGGGAATAAATGGTAAATGTGCAGTGAGAATAATAGTTCATTGTAAAAAGATGCACATTCTTATGCCTAATAATAAAATGTGACAAACCCCTTTCCATATTCATAAGAAATTTCTGTCAAAAGTAGAGTCGATTAATATTGTTCGATTCTGACTATATTATGAGTATGCTTCCATGAATCACCGTTATATTGGGATGATACCAATTGCTCGCGAACAGGTGAACGTATCCTGCTCCATCGGTGGCATCCGTCACAAGAACGAACAAAGGTCAATTTTTCAACTGAATAACGCGGGAACAAATGGTAGAAATCTAAATAGGGAATTGCATCGGACATCATTTTTATCCCCCGCCACGAAGTGGGACGGGGATACAGAAACGGAGTTCGTCCGTTCGTCCCTCTGTATTTCCGTCCTTCCGTCCGCTTCACAAAGGGGACAAATTCTCTTCTAGACTATTTAAGTTAGAGAAATAAAATTTTACGCACTGATCTTTAATGAGTTCGCAAATTGGAAGTTAAAGCCCTTGCTCCATGCTTTTCAACCAAGTGCAAACTGCGTGAAATGGGTACAAGTTTTCTCAGAAACTCCTTAAGTTACACGAATATAAGTTTCTATACTTATGTGAGAGATACTTGTCAAGAAAATTGGTCCCGCAAATGATATTTGGCCAGAGTTACTTCCCTTCCTACATGTTTTTAGATTTTGAGCATGAACAGTTACGGAGTTCGAGAATTTGGGCTATAAGTTATTTTGTATGTATTAATTTCACGTTTAATTATTTTTTCATGAAGTGACCCTAGTGCACGTGCAAAGCTCTTCTTAAGGCTTTATAGGACTCTTTTTTTAAGTTTATATTCACTTCTACATGAACAAACATGTGCCACATGGCAGCGGATATTGATAACGGTGATTTCTTGTTGTCACTGATGCTGATGTTATCCAAATATCTACCATATAACGTTTTGAAAACTTTACTGAGGACTTGAATGTTGTAACCGTGATCAAACAACTTCTGTACAAGTGTCGCATCCCGAAATCTTGTCGGAAGGAGCATGCTCGATTGTACTTTATTTATGCTTGATTGATGATAGTGTTTTGGGGCTACCAAGAAAAGTTAACATTCCTGACAGCTTTTGTGAAAAATGGGGACTACAGGTTAATTTGGATAAAAACAAAAGTAATGGTATTCAGAACTGGGGGTACACTAAGGAAATATAAAATAGTTTATGAGTGACGTTCCAAAAACAGTGACATGTACTTACAGCAATTACCCAGTTGTTCTGCATTCTAATTGACTGTCCTGGTCAAAGTGTATAGACACATTGATAATCAACTTTGTTTCATATCAATGTTATGATATAAATTCCCACTGATGCCTGTAAATATTTTATTTGAACTGCTTGACACTAAAATATAGCCTGTTATATTGTATGGTGTAGAGGTGTGGTGTTTTCAGCAATACCCAGTATTAGAATCGTTTTGTGCTAATCTCTGTAAATATGTGTTGGGAGTAAGTAAATATGTTTCAAACTATGGTATTTTAGCAGAATGTGGAAGAAGACAACTGTATGTAGATTATCAATTTAAATGTATTAAATATTGATGTAAACTTTTGTGTATGGGTGATAGTAAATATCCTAGATAGTATATCTTTTAATGAAAAAGTTGGATGAAGCCGGTGTGAAAACATGGGGAAACTGTCTTTGATAATTTGCTCTTCAGTTTCGGTTTTGGTGATGTATGGCTATCCAAGAAACAGTGGTGATATACATCTCTTTTTGGGAGTATTCAAGAAACGTTTGCGTGAGTGTAATATCCAGAATGTTTCTGATAAAATACTACAGTTAAAAACTGCTATGAAAATCCAACAATCTACTCCCATAAGAAACTAGTAGATAGCAATTCTCGTCATATCCTTATGAATTTAGCAACATATGTCAAGGAATCTTTGACTATACGACTTACTTTGTTGTAAGCATTAGTAATGCCTCTCAGAAATATAGAACTGTTTATGTATGAAATGTACAAGGGCCTGTGGCCTATTTACCAAATAAACAATATACTCATTCGTTATGTCACTCAATCTCTCAACCACTCACAATATAATGTCTGCGAATGTCCTACGATTTACAGTGGGATCATTGCAGACAACATCAATTTGCAATTTCATTTCACGCAATAACACACTTTCTGAACATTTTCATCACAGTCTGTGCTTCTCAGAAAATGTGCTCAACCTCCAAGGAATGTGATCTCCACTTGTGAGTTCGTTGCTAGAACAGCAGACTGTTGTCAGGTGTGTGTATGTGAGTGAGTGCATCCGTGCGTCTTCCTGGAAAGCCTCCATCTAGCGACATATCGCCTATGAAACCCAAGCATTCTTTTTCCATATTGAATGATATGGTTTGAAAGTAGTATTGCGGCGTACTAAGACTTTAGTCGAAAACCTAATACATGGTCAGTGGTCTTCAGCAACCCATGTTTGTCGTAATAGACGACTAACGGGGTCGGGTGGTCAGGTTCGCTGACTTAGTTGATGCATGTCATCTTATCCCGATTGCCTGGATCGACGCTCATGATATCAATCACCGGATTGTCTGGTACAGACTCGATTATGTCCAGACCGCCATCATATAGCTGGGAATTGCTGGCTCTAAACAGCAAACACGAATCAAAATATAAATGAACAACTGGAGACAAATGAATGTTCTAAATCCAATGCAAATACACATTCCAGATCTCTCCGTTCTGACAATAAACCTCTGCTTAAAATCTCTGCAACCAGATTGAAATCATTTGGTCAGAGAACTTACAAGTTTTGTTCCGTAAAGCTATGGAACCAACTGCCACAAGAACTTTGACTGAATGAAGAATGAACTCGTGAAGTGTTCGTACAATCCTCTCTTTGAACAAGTTACTGACTCGTGTGTGTGGCTGCTAGTACTAGTCCCGACTAATGCCGACTTTATCGCACTAGCCCACTGAGATACCATGCCGCAGTTTAACATGAATACCCAACTCAAACACAGCCGACCAGTCCTTGTTTTAGTCGATTAATGCCGAGCGCCAAGCAGGGTAGCAACAAATACCATCTTCTACCGCCTTTTGTATGACGCGGCCGGGTATCGAACCTCCGACATTCCGCTCTCCGGGCGAACGCTCTACCACCAGACCACTGACGCTGTCTGATGCTTCATATATTCACGGTTTTAATGTTAATGTCAAGTTACACAACGTGATATCGCTTTCATCACATATAGGTTTGTGTATGTTCGGCACAATTGTGTTATTTATGTTGATAATAAAATCATTCTTACAAAATTTAACACTCGTGATAAACTATTAATCTCGCTTTTTAAATGCCGAGACGTATTTCAACAGATGCCACTGCTATTTGGAAGGAAAATAGATGTTACAACCATGAAGCGATTTAAACCATAATACCATCATTTATACAGCGTATGTACATAATTATCAATAGACAAACGCGGAAGTGTTGAAGCACAGCTGTCAATCAAAGGATCACCCTTAAGGAACGTGGTGCAAATCAACATCTGTCTTGATTAATGATATGTCAATAGTAACGATCTCTATTGGGCTACCATGTACACTAATGGGTAAAAGACAAGGCTTCGTTTGTTCCCACGCCAAGTACAGCTAACCAACACATAACGGTTCATATGAATGACGTTCTTCTTCCACGTTCTGTACGTCAGAAATCTCGTAATGCATATTGGCCACCAATTCCCTGTGAAGAGGTGTATCGCCCGAATACTATTGCCCAAAGACCGTGAGTTCGAATCCTAGATTAGGCATGATTATGAATTAAAAGGTATTTCATTGGCTTTTAGACGCTGGATGTTCTCAGAGACAAACAATGTATAGATTGACAGTTCTCTTTACACAAACTGTCGACGGTTCCCCATGTCCCTTCATCAGGTCATGGACACACAACGGGTAATGTTCTTCAGATATATACAATACAAGCGACAAACTCCTTTCCATATTCATAAGAAATGTCTGTTAAACAAAAGGGTTTTTATGAGCATCTGAGTAGTCATTGTGTACTGTTCACATTATAAAACCACATGCGTGAGTTACATGCTACCAACAAACACACATTATGTAATTTCAGAATGAATACTGATACTCATGAGAAACTGCTCGGTCGACATAGATCCCGTTGTACATAAAAACGAGAAAACCCTTTCCATATTCAAATGGAATCGTTGCCAAAAACACAGTCAATTACGATTCCGACTATATCATTCGCATGTGTTCATGAATCACTATCAAATAGCGATGATACCAGGTGTTAACGAAAGGGTGAGAGAACCTTGTCCCACCGGTCTCACCCGTTACAAACACACGCAAGGCAAGTCAATTGTTCACCTAAAAAACACCGAAACATATGGTACAAGTCAAAATAGGGAATGACATCGGAAATCATATTTGTCATATTGCGTCAAATTTGGAAATATCCTACTACCACAAAATCAGTTGAAAGATTTGCTTGAGGAAGAACAGCTGACATACATCAAAACACTAAACTAAAACACTAAACCAGCCTATATTTGTCAGTGTGGTGGCCTGCCTCATACCTTATACCCTATACCTACCAAACCGTCGCAGCAGCGTATTAACATCATGTACGGGTGTCAGTGTGTATCAACTACATTAATAGTGTGAGAGTCTACCGACAAAACTATAGGGAACGTTGTTTGTTATGCGGCAAAATCATTCAGAGTGTTTGATTTTGTGAAAATTCGGAAATACTTATGGGTTTGATGAACAATTACTGTCGGTGAAATGAAATACAAATCTTATATAAAGTACATGCTCAGTTTCAACTCATCTTTACAGTTTCATAGACACTTCTCTTCATCTGATGAACTTTTCAGGACCATGTCAATTTCTCCTCATGTC